GATAGCTTTAACCATGGTGATCTCACAGAAATAGGTCAGAGAGGGATTAACATGAGTGGAGGACAGAAGCAGAGGATTCAACTTGCTCGAGCTGTCTATAATGATGCTGATCTCTACCTTCTTGATGATCCTTTCAGTGCTGTCGATGCTCATACAGCTTCCACTTTATTCAATGTAAGCAAAACCCCACTTCTTCATTTAGCAAGAAACCATAACATATAAATGCATGAGTGTTTTTTTTGTAGCATGCCCAAGTTAAATGCCATAATTGCAGGACTGTGTCATGACAGCTCTAAAGACGAAAACTGTCATTTTGGTAACTCATCAAGTGGAGTTTCTCTCAGAAGTGGATAGAATTCTGGTAAAATCTTATGTATTCAATTTCTTGTTGTGTTCCTGTTTTTTTTTTTCCCTTCCCAAAGGGTGATAATGAAATGGCTTTTCCTTAGGTTATGGAAGATGGGCAAATTACTCAATCAGGAAGCTATGAGGATCTCCTGATCGCTGGGACTGCATTTGAGCAGCTTGTGACAGCTCACAGGAATGCAGTGACAGCATTGAGTCCTTTAAATAATGAAAGCCAAGGAGAATTTCCAAAGATAGATCGGGTTCAATCAGAAAACTCAAGTGTTTTTAATCCCAACAAACAGAACAGTGAGGGGGAGATTTCGGCAAAGGGTCCACAAGGAGTGCAACTTACAGAAGAAGAAGAAAAGGAGATTGGAGATGTTGGATGGAAGCCATTCATGGATTATCTCCATATCTCAAAAGGATCTCTTCTTATGCTTTCGGGCATATTGGCTCAGTCTAATTTCGTCGTTCTTCAGGCTGCTGCAACTTATTGGTTAGCATTTGCAATTAAAATTCCAAAAGTTACCAGCAGCATGTTAATAGGAGTTTATACTGGTATCTCAACACTCAGTGCTGTTTTCGTTTATTTGAGAGCCTTGTTTGCAGCTCTCCTTGGATTAAAGGCGTCCAAAGCCTTTTTCTCTGGTTTCACAAATTCCATTTTTAAGGCTTCAATGCTTTTCTTTGACTCTACTCCTGTTGGGCGTATTTTGACCAGAGTAAGATTGCCCTTATCTCTGAGTAGATAGGAATGTCTTGTATTTTACTGTAAATTATGTTGCCAAGAAAGCTAGTTTTGACATTCTTTTCAATGTTCTTTCCTGCAGGCTTCATCAGATTTGAGTATTGTGGATTTTGACATTCCTTTTGCCTCTATTTTTGTGGCGGCTTCTGGCACTGAAGTTCTAGCAACTATTGCAATCATGGCCTTTGTCACATGGCCAGTTCTAATTGTTGCCATCCTTGCTATGTTGGCAGTAAAATACATTCAGGTGGATCCACTGTGACTTGTTTTCATCAATCACTCATCCTCTTTTGATGAATGTAAGCACTGATTCTCTTTGTTTGGTAATAGGGCTATTATATGGCTACTGCAAGGGAACTAATAAGAATTAATGGAACAACAAAAGCACCAGTTATGAATTATGCAGCTGAGACATCACTTGGAGTTGTCACAATTAGAGCCTTTAACATGGTGGACAGGTTCTTCAGAAACTACCTAAACCTTGTGGACATGGATGCCAAGCTTTTCTTCTTTTCTAATGCAACCATGGAGTGGCTAATTCTAAGAATAGAGACACTTCAGAATCTGACATTATTCACTGCTGCATTTCTTATACTTCTACTTCCGAAAGGCCATATAGCTCCAGGTAAAATTATTTTTTTAGAATGATTTTTCTCCTATTTAAGAATTCTTTATTTAAACATACTAATCTTTTTCTTCTTCTGTTAAATCTTTGGTCTGTAGGACTTGTTGGGCTCTCTCTTTCTTATGCTTTACAACTGACAGGCACACAGATTTTCCTGTCTCGGTGGTATTGCAACTTATCAAACTACATAATTTCAGTTGAACGGATAAAACAGTTCATGCACATACCACCAGAGCCTCCAGCAATAGTAGAGGACAAGAGGCCACCATCATCCTGGCCTTCTAAAGGCAGAATAGAGTTGCATGAGCTGAAGGTAATGAATCTAATCAAGCAGACCTTGTATATAGATAGTTTTTCAACAAATGTGAAGAAAAGAAGACTCCTTAGAATGCTCAAAATCTATCATGCACTTCCTTTGTCTCCAAAGATGAATATATATGGAAATGAATTACTTTTACAAATCTAACTTCACATCTGTGTCTTCTACAGCTGCATCCCTTAAGAATGATGCAATTTTACTTTTATGCTTTATTTCAGATAAGATATCGTCTGAATGCTCCATTGGTTCTCAAAGGGATCACTTGTACATTTGAAGAAGGAACTAGAGTAGGAGTTGTTGGAAGGACTGGAAGTGGCAAAACTACATTAATAAGTGCCTTGTTTCGTCTGGTAGAACCTGCAGGTGGGAAAATTTTTATAGATGGACTTGACATATGCTGCATGGGACTGAAAGATCTGAGAATGAATCTAAGCATCATCCCTCAAGAACCAACTCTATTCAAAGGCAGTGTTCGAACTAACTTAGATCCCCTCAGCCTTTACTCAGATGATGAGATATGGAAGGTAAGCCAACTTTTTATTCTTATTTTGTCTAGTAAAGTTGCATATTACTTAAAAATGTGGTATGTTCTATATTCCTAGGCTTTGGAGAAGTGTCAACTTAAGGCAACAATCAGTAGCCTGCCAAACAAGTTAGACTCATCAGGTAAGTTGCAGTAATTACATATTTCTTGCCCTTTTCATTTAACTAATGGATAATTTAAAGAAAATGTTGGATGTTATCTGACTTTTCTTGGATCAACAGTCAGTGATGAAGGTGACAACTGGAGTGTGGGACAGCGACAACTCTTTTGCCTTGGAAGGGTTCTGCTTAAGAGGAATAGAATTTTGGTGCTAGATGAAGCTACTGCTTCCATAGACTCTGCCACTGATGCGATTATACAAAAAATTCTCAGAGAAGAATTCTCCAAATGCACGGTGATAACTGTTGCTCATCGTGTCCCTACAGTTATAGATAGTGACAGGGTCATGGTCCTCTCATATGGTAAGTTCTTATTTCTGACTTGATCATTCTAATTAACACTTTTAAGTATCTTAATCTTCAGATTAGCAACATCTAAACCAACAGGCTGTTACACCCATCTGAAATAAAGTTAATATATGTAGAATGCAGTTTTAAAAAACCTAAGAGGATAATTTTGTTGGAAAAAGGAGTATGCAAAAAGATGTAGTTCATAGAAAGACGATTAATTAACCCCTCTTGGAAATGTACTCTGGTTGTTATTTAGTCGTTGGTAGAAGCCAGTTATGCAATTACAATATGATTTGATTTGCAGGGAAATTGGTGGAGTATGATGAACCCTCAAAGCTTATGGAGACAAACTCTTCTTTTTCTAAGCTTGTAGCTGAATACTGGTCCAGTTGCAGGAGAAATTCCTATCAAACTCTAAACAACTGTTAAAGAAAATGGCACTGCATGTCGAGTGTCAACCCCAATTATAATAAGAACATGCGTTGGGTATCTAAGCCACAGAAAAAATCCCTGTAGTGTGTTCGCCATGATAGCTGTAAGGGTAGTGGAAAAGTAAATTATTTGAGGTGAGGGAATTAGTGTTCTTTCTATCAATGATTTCAGCGTTAGTGGGAAACAATGAGTATCATTCTGATGCAGAAAGTATGCTTCTTCCTTTTCTGTATTTTTATTTAATCCCAGATAAAGACAACTAGCAGTACAGTTAATCGACGAACTAATGCAAACATTCTTTGTTTGCCATCACAATATCTTAATTGGAGAAAAATTTGCATGATTAGTTACCTTAACAATATGAGAGAAACTAGAGTGTGCTACTAAATCTTTTCTGAACTAAGTGCAAACCTGAATTCAGAAGAAATTGCTATAATTGCTATTGGCTATGTTGTAACAAGTTAAAGGGCTGAATTAATACTCATATCATATGAGTAGAGATAGACAGAGAGATCTGTGAAGATCAGCAAAAGTAAAAAAATGGAGAGAAATTAACAATCGGACAACAAGCAGCCAAGGAACATAACAAATAAAAAAAAAAAAAAAAAAGAGGGTATTGTAAGGGTATAAATATGCAACGCAAAGCTCAATGCTTTGCCGCACCTTTTCTCTATTGCAAGTGCATAACACGTAAGTCAAAGCTCAGTGCTCTGTCACACCTCGATTCTTTACCACAAGTGCACGGCAGTTACAATGAGAATACTCTTACCCGATTATCTGTCCTTACCTGATCCTCGACCTGCTCCGTCAGAACATGCCACGCACATTTAATGTTGTTGCTTCGTTAAGGCATGTTATGTTCACCTAAGACATCTGCTCCCTTAGGTACATCATATCACGATTATCATGTTAAATAGGCCACGTGGATACCTTACCAAAATGTACAAAACCCATGAGGAAAGATACGTTACATATACGGGATAATCATAAAGAGAACACACTCCAGAAAAATACTAACTTAAGCATTGGAGTTTCTCCCCAAGGACCAACCTCGGGATTTTGTAGGTCTGCCTAGAGAGAAGATACACAAAAGGAAGATCTTAGAGGTTTTCAGCAACAACATTGGCACTGTCTATGGGAATACGAACAAGAAGCCCATAAAAGAGACTAAGATGGTTCGCACACGCTCAACCCAGCATGAAAGTCAGTCCCGAGGTGGTGGAAAAGGCCAGTCACTGAGCCCCAACCCCATACCTCAAAATGTACCGCTTGCTACTACTCAACGTCAGCATATGGAAGGAACAGGAGAACACAATCCACAACATCCAGCCAACAATTAGTATGTCATCCACATAAAGCAAAAGTATCAAAAAATTAGCATCTGCATACCTCTTTACATAAACACAATGATCAGATTCTGTTCTAGTGAATTTATGCTCCCCCATAGAAGAGTCAAACTTATGGTACCATTGCCTCGAAGCTTGTTTGAGACCATACAAGCTTTTCTTCAATTTGCAAACCAAATTCTTCTTGCCTTGCACCTCAAAACCCTCAGGTTGCTTCATATAGATCTCCTCCTCAAGATCACTATGGAGAAAAGCTGTCTTAACATCAAGTTGTTCAATTTCTAAATTTAAACTAGCTGCCAAAGCCGAAACAGCTCAAATAGATGGCATTTTTACTATCGATGAGAAAATCTCATAATCAATGCCCTTTTCTTGTCCAAAGCCCTTCACCATTAATCTAGCTTTGAACCTTGGATTCGAATTGTTCACTTCAAACTTTACTCTGAAAACCCACTTGTTGTTAAGAGCCCTTTTGTCCTTTGGAAGCTCTACTAGCTCATAAGTCCCATTCTCTTGCAAAGAACTCATTTCTTCTTGCATTGCCATCAACCATTCCCTCTTGTTTTCACTCTCCATAGCTTCATAATAAGTTTCTAGTTCTCCCCCATTAGTCAAGAGCACATACTCATCAATAGAGTACTTCCGAGATGGTTGATGAAGTCTAGTGGACCTCCTAACTTGAGGTTGTTGTGGTGGTTGCACTTGCTCTTCTTGGTGTGTTTCTTCTTCAACAAAATGTTCAACAACAGGCTCTTGAACTTGCTGCTCATCTACTTCCCTGTGATCATCATTCATAACACTCAGTTTAGGTGTTGAAGAAGTACAATAATCATTGTTCGGTATTTCTTGAGTGCGCTCACTATCATCTTGCTTCTTTGAGTCTTCAACCGTCTCATTCTCAATGAACACCACATCTTTGGTTCTCATTAATTTTCTATTTTTCAAGTCCCATAATCTATAGCCATACTCCTCATCACCATATCCCAAGAACACACACTGTTTGGTCTTTGCATCAAGCTTTGCTTTCTCTTTTTTTGGAACATGCACATATGCCTTGTAGCCAAATACCCTCAAGTGCTTGTAGGATACTTCTTTGCCTGACCAAATCTTCTCCGAAACATCACCATTTAGAACAACAAAAGGGGATTGATTTATCAAGTACACTACAGTCTTCAAAACCTCACCCTAAAAGGACTTTGGCAACTTAGCATGAGAGAGCATACAAACAATTCTATCACATATTGTTCTGTTCATCCTTTCAGCAACTTCATTATGTTGTGGAGTTCTAGGAGTGGTCTTCCCGAGCTTAATTCCCTATTCTCTAAAATAGCGCTCAAACTGTCCATTGTATTCACCACCATTATCAGACCTGATGCACTTTAATTTTCTACCAATTTCTCTTTCTGTCATTGCTTGAAATTCTTTAAATTTTTCCAGCACCTGATCTTCACTTAGACAAGTGATAGGCCCATAATTTTCTAGAAATATCATCCACAAAAGTCACAAAATATGTAGCACCACCCAAACTTTTATCTTTCATAAAACAAACATCAGTGTGAACCAAATCAAGTGCATATTTTCTTCTAGACAGGGGTAAAGTGTGAAAAGAAACTCTATGATGCTTGCCAGCTAAACAATCAACAGAGGTTTCAGAAAGTTTACCTGTAAAGCCGGGTAGGAGTTCCTTTTTGCTAAGGATTTGAAGTCCCTTCTCACTCAAGTGCCCAAGTCTCTTGTGCCATAACTTAGCAGCATCAGCCTCTGTAACAGTGATCTGTCCCTGACATTGTTTTGCTTGAGTTTCGTAGAGTGAAAATCTCTTCTTGCCTCTTGCCACAACCATAGTGCCCTTTGTGAGTTTCCAAGTGCCATTACCGAAATAATTAAGGTAGCCATCATCATCTAGCATACCCGTAGACATCAAATTGAGACGTATTTCAGGAACATGTCTCACATTTTTCAAGTGCAGCTTAGACCCGATGTTTGTTTCAAGCCAAACATCACTGACACCCACAATCTTGGCTTCAGATCTATTTCCCATCTTCAAATACCCAAAATCACCTTCTTTATATGAGCTAAACCAGTCTCTATTTGGTGTGACATGATAAGAAGCAATAGTATCAATAACCCATGTAGAATCATAATGAGCAACATCAATGCTATCATTCTCACACAACAGGTATAACTCACCATCAGAAGTGATTACAGTAGTGTTCTCCTTAGCCTCCTTCCCTTCATGAGTATCAGCCCTCTTCCTAACATTTTTATCTTTGTTGTGCCAACAATCCTTTTGATAATGACCTTACTTTCCACAAGTGTAACAAATCACTCTGCTCTTGGATTTTGATCTACCTCTAGACTTCCCCTTGCTGTTACTCTCTTATGACTATCTGTCATTGTCTCTTCGAGTATACCTTTGCTTACTCCTTCCTCTATACTTAGTAACTAGTGCTTTAAACTCAGAACTCATAATTCCTTGCTCTTTTCTTCTGGATTCCTCACTCAAGATGCTATTCTTAACCAACTGCAAAGTCATTTCCCCATCTCTTGTTGAGTTGCTTAAAGTTACCAGCAAAGTCTCCCAACTATCCGGAAGAGAGCTTAGGTTAAATCCCCGATTCAGTCCCTCAACTTTCATTTTTGAACTAAATTTAGCCTCAAACTTCAAAAAGTACTAAAAAAATCCTTGAACTTCAATTTTCGAGACCAATTTCGTCCTTCCGTAGACGGAAGTGCCAGATGGCACATTAAGTTGCCACGAAATCAATTCTTGTTTGAAATCTTTAATTACGTGGAAAATAATTTAACCCATTATTATCCACATCATTTTAATTAATTTATATATTAAAAAATTTAAAATTCCTTAAATACCCTCTTCATCTTCCATCCCCTCTCGTCTCTCAGATGTCTCTGCATTTTGCAACCCAATCAGCACCAATCATCCCTCATTGCTCCGGTCATCCCTCATTGCTCCAATCATCTATTACCACTTCAATCACTATCTACTTTTTCCCTAAACCTCCTCTCTAATAGAACCCAAATCTGATTCCTCGCACAAGATCTGATTCAAAAAATCAATTCCTCTGCAAATGTATACCAGATCTGTAAGGAAAAATGTAAAAAACACAACATCTCTTCAATCAACACTAACAGCAATCAACACTAACAGTAACCAGATCTTGAAATTCAAGCAATCAAAGCCACACAAAATTCTAAATCCCATTCCAAGATAGCCAAGCATGATTGCAGCAAACAAAGAAACAGAAGAAAAAACCCAGGTGGGTTCGACTCAAACCCAGGACGCCTGGGTTCGATGGAACCTAGGCGCTAGTGCTGGGTTCGAAGACCCAATAGGGGAGGGGAAGGAGAAAAGGAAAGAGAAGGAGAAAAAAAAGGAAAGGAAAGAAAAAAAAAAAAGAAAGGAAATTTTTATATATTAAATTATATTTTTGGTGCCAAATCACCATATTTTTATAATTAAAAATGCCACTTCACTTGTTTTATTTCCAGGTAATATTTAATATTAACAAAAATTGAATTTGTTAACGGGAAATTTTGCCATGTCAGCACTTAACTGACAGAAGGACTAAATTGGTTCCAAAAATTGAAGTTCAAGGATTTTTTTAGTACTTTTTGAAGTTCGAGGGTAAATTTAGTTCAAAAATGAAAGTTGAGGGACTGAATTGGGGATTTAATTGAGAGCTTAATAAAATCAATGCTTGTACCTCATCATCAATGGCCAACTTCATTGTATCTAATTCATTCAAAATTTCTTGAAAATTATTCAAGTGCTTAGACACATTCTTGCCCTCTTTGAACTTGAGATTGACTATTTTTCTTATGAGTGATGCTTTCTTCAAGGCATTCTTTCTTTCAAACATCTCTTCAAGCTTAGTCCACAATTTATAGGACTCCTTTTCTTGAGCCACATGATGAATCACACTCATGTCAACCCATTTACGGATTACGCCACAAGCTTTGCGATCAATCTTTTTCCAATCAGCATCACTAATTTCTGTAGGTTTGATGCCTTCGTGCTCAATTGAGTCACAGAGGTCTTTACAAAACAGCTTGTCCTCCATCAAAGTCTTCCACAAAGAGCAGTTAGAAGTGTTCAACTTAATCATGGTTGAACCATCTTTTTCATCCGCCATGGTTGTTGGAATGAAAAAAAAAAAAACCCAAATCTTACTTGGGAATTTCAACAAACACCTTGTATGCACAGTTGCTTTGATACCAGTTGTTGTGGTTTTAATGGTTCAATGCCTAGAATCAAAGCAATCAAAGACACAATCAACCACTCAAATCAGAGAATAAGCAAGCAAGTAAAATAAAGAGGACACTAGAATTTTTACATGGAAACTACAAATGGGAAAAACCACAAGGCACTTGCCTAGATGAAAAACAATCCACTATTGAAAATGGATTACAACTTTCGGATCACAATCCGAATCTCTCAAAGTTCTAGCATCACCAAGGGAAACTTGCTCTCAACCGCACTCTATTTTTCTGCACAAGTTTCCCACTCTGTTTTTTCATGCACTCACCCACCTACACTCTTTTAAATTTTAAACAAGAGTTAAAATAGGGAGCTTTTGGATACAAGAATAGTAACACTATCCTATCAAGGACTAACATGTTAACATATCTAAAGTTGGAGGAGTCAACTTTTCTTTTCCCATTTTCTTCGAGAATAGGAAATGTCTGGGTTGGAAACCACTGTGCATCTTCAAATAAACTTCCCAAGTTTCTGCCATTCACCGTGCACTCAAGGTGCACCTCCATTGTTGAGCAACCCAACTTGGGAGGGCTAGCTCAACAAGAGTCTAAGTTATAAATGTTTTAGGAATTGTATTATTTACTTGTAATCTTAATGGAGAATGATATCAATTTGAATTAGGTTATGGATGGTGGGCAAATTACTCAATCTAGAAGTTATGAGGAGCTCTTGAAGGCCAGAACAGCTTTTGAGCAACTAGTTAGTGCTTATAAAGATGTGGTAACAACACTGGGTTCATTGAAAAATGAGATAAAAATAGACTCAGATAAAAGAGACTTTGTGGTGTCTTACCCAACTAAACAAGACAGTGAAGGAGAGATTTTTGTCATTGGTTCACCTGGCGTACAACTAACAGAAGAAGAGGAAAGGCAGAATGGGCATGTTGGCTGGAAACTTTTCCTAGATTACCTTCAAGTCTCAAAAGGATATTGCCTTTTATGTGTAGGCACATTAACTCAATCCGGTTTTGTTGTTCTTCAGGCTACAGCAACATATTGGCTAGCAATTGCAATTCAGATTCCTAAAATTAGTACTGGTTTGTTAATAGGAGTTTACACGAGAGTTTCAACACTTAGTGCTTGTTTTGTATATCTTAGGTCTGTATGCTCTGCCCTTTTGGGACTAAAAGCTTTTAAAGCTTTCTACTCTGGTTTCACCAATTCCATTTTCAAAGCCCCCATGCTTTTCTTTGACTCTACTCATGTTGGCCAAATTTTGACTAGGGTAAGAGGACCCTTAACCATATATAAAGCACTTCTAAAATAAATGTTTGCATTCTACTCTTATAATGTTTTAAATACCAGTTTTTGCTCTACTCTTCTAATCTTCTTATATTGCACTATTTCAGGCCTCATCAGATATGAGTGTTTTGGATTTTGATGTACCTTTCTCCTTTGGCTTCATGGCAGCCAGTGCCATTGAGCTTATGTTGAAGAATTTTCAAAATATTTCCAAGATTTGGGTCGAATCACAAAAAAGTTAGTTCAAAGCAATTGCATAGAATGCATTTAAGAAACTGTAACTTTGGTTCGAATTATAATTATATGATTCGAACCATTTACATAAAACCAGAATCTAGAAAGTTACGATTTTGGTTCGAATCATTTACATAAGAAATCAGAGATAGAATTGTGATAAGTTTTTAAAGAGAGTGGATAACTTTGGAATGCAAGAAAACATGTCAGTTGGAATTTAAATAAAACCAAATGACTTTTGGAAGAGTTTCCAACAAATAAAAATTCAAAAGAAGCATTTTTTCCCAACAAATATCTTGAAAAGAAGTGTTTTTTCCTAACAAACATCTTGACAAGAAGTGTTTTTTCCCAACAAACATCTTGAAAAGAAGTGTCTATTCCAACAGACATCTTGCCCTATAAATATGGAGTTATCTCTTCTTCTTTAAGGAGTCTTTTTGAACCTAAAATTGTGTAAATAAAATAGCCCATTTTTGTATTGCGGTTGCTTGAGAAATCCCTATACAAAAACTATTGTTTTGTCGCTTTTCAAAGGATGGTTCAGTGATTGATCTTGCTAGTGCAAAGGCTAGATCAACAAAGTGCTTCATTGTACCCTATGGGCATTTTGGGTTATCCCTTTTGCATACCAGATTTGGTGGGGGCGAAATTAGCTGAAAGAAAGTAGCATTTTCAACACGCCTTGAAGCCAATGATCTAATGATCTATTTTTTAGCCCCTTATTTCTCCAACAATCTTTAGGCTAATTTACGAGTTTTTTGAGATCATGCCTTACTGGATAATTGAGAAGAAACTTGCGTTAAAACTCATGTGAAGCTAAGGAGATATGGTGTGCAACAGTGGCAAAACCAAATGGATTTTTGGTGCTTTAAATTGTGTGCAAAATGTTGATTCATCTACCATATAAGGCAATGGTTGCTGGACGTTTCACAATAAAGCAAAGGAAATCTATTTTCATGAAAGATGAAACAATGGAGACATGATTCTGTTCATGAAAGAAGCAATTGAAATATCTAAGTCTGGAGAGGATATGAAATAGAGATGAATCGAGATTCACTACAATATTGAAACAGGTATGAAAACCAATAAAATGATAGAATAAAATAATACATTCTGAAATTAGTAAGAAATTGAGATTACAATTTCTTAAATCATGAATTTTTCTGAGTTTTGGCACACGCACCATTTATATCATGGGCTGTTCATGCATAGGTGATAGTTTTCTTGTTAATGTTTAATTAATTATATACGAGGAAAAAACATCTCTTGGAGAATGGCTTCAAAGAAGTTATCAAAGATGCAAATGACAGTGTAAAGATTCATAATTAAAAGTCACTTGCCACAATGAGGCAAGATAAATAAAATGGGTCTTTAAATCCCATTTGGAGATTAAATAAATCTTAGACTTGATAGCATGGTTCTTGGCTGTGAGAAGGAAGATATTTATGGATTTAAATATGATCATGTTTTGAGATCATGATTGTGCCTTGATTTTGAGATTACTAATGTGATACAATGAAGTTATGTTTTTCTTTTCATTTAGTAATGATTATTTACTGTTCTTTGGTGAATACTTATTATGGAGTTTAAGTAGTATATCTTACTTCTAAACATGATCTTATTAAGGTTTGCTTAAGGCTTATTAAAGTCAATGAGATTTCCTTTACTTGGATTATGTTATAAGCATGTTTATGTATATGACAATTTTAGTTAAAATCAATGAGTTATGTACATGTGTTAAACATGCTTACTATTTTTAATATGAGGCTTGTGAAAATATAAGAGGCTAAATCTAGTCATGTTTCATTAATGAAAGGTTGCTTAAAGCATATGTCTACTTGTTACTTTTGATGCCTTTTATTTATGCTTGTAAGGTTATATATCAATATATGTAAATTTGAAATAAGTAAGAATCAAGTCTCATGATGGCTACTTTGCCATGTTAAAGAAAGAAATATTGAAATGGGATGTAGCAAACCCATTTGGAGATCCAACTAATGGTCTTAGTATAAATTAAGAGAAGAGAGGCCAAGTAAAAAGGCTCTCAGTTTTGATAAGGCATGAAGGATTTTGAATCCTTGTTTAGATGGTATCTCCTAATGAGATAATTTGTTAAAACTAGTGCAACCTTGTGCACTTGATTTTTGGAAGCCTAAAAAATTGTCCAAAAGGTAAAAAAAAATATGAATTTAAAGAATCCTATAAACAGCAATAGTGAATAGCTCTTGGTCATGGAAAACAAATTTAATGATTTGAGTTGTTCCAGAATTTTGGTTCAAATCACTTAAAGTTGATCCGAACCAATTACATAGGAAACTCAAAAAGTATCAGGAACTTGGTTTGAATCGTATGAATTGAACCATTTTGATAAATCAGAATTTATCCTAATATGTCTCTCATGAGAAATATTGATGCCATTGAAAATAGTGAAAACAATCCCAAAAGTGAGGAATAAGGACTAAAAGTCCTTGACACATGAAAAGCAAATAAAATTTAATTTGAAGTGGAGGAAGCAAGAATTCCACTTGTTCATGATATTACAGAGTTATATGGCACTATTTAAAAGTGATAGCACTTGTTCTTGGAGATGTCTACACTTTTTAGGAGTTCAGATTATTCTAAGACATTCTTATATGAATGTGTATGATGACTAAAAATAATAGGATGTCATCAAGTGCTTAAAAAGAAGTCTAAATGACAGTAGACTTATTGTCATAAAATGTAGACATGAAAATAATTAATTATTAGATAAGGTGATCACCATAATCATTGCAAGGTCTTGTGTTAATTTCATGAATCCTTGATTAAAAGGATTATCAAAGGAAAATTCACAAGACAAAGAGAGGGATGGGTCTCAAGTCCATATTGACAAAGTCACACATGATGGAACCTCGACTTAATGCTGGATAAAAACTTCAAGTCTTAAGTTCAATGAGTAAAGTACATCATATGAATGTGACTACAAGTACTCAATTTATCAATAATACCATCCCAAGTAGAAGAATACTTGGTAACCGCATGAAATAAAAGGAGGTTGAGTTTTACTCTTAATAGATCCTATAACAGATTTCTGTTAAAGTGCTTAATGTGGTGGTACTTTTGATGGGATCTACCTATATGAGTGGAAGTGGTGCCACTTCTAGGAGTTAGGGACTTGACTCTAACAACACTCATGAAAAGGATACAAAACGCATGACTAGTTTTTGTGTCAAAGAATGCAGAATTCTTTCTTTAGAAAGCTTGAAGTCTTGTGTGTGGCGTGTGCCAAATAAGTCACTTAGAATTGCTGGTTCAAAGCATTAGTCTACCATGCAATTCTGACTAATTTACCAACACATATTCAATAAGTGAAAGGTTCAAATCATAAGATACCTTCATGTATGCATAAAATTTCCAAAACAATTGGTGGGTTGTTCTATTTTAAAAATGGTGGGGGAATGTTGAAGAATTTTCAAAATATTTCCAGGATTTGGGTCGAATCACAAAAAGTTGGTTCGAAACAATTGCACAGAATGCATTTGAGAAATTGTAACTTTGGTTAGAACCATAATTATATGATTCGAATCATTTACGTAAAACCAGAATCCAAAAAGTTACGATTTTGGTTTGAATCATATAAGTGTGGTTCGAACAATTTACGTCAGAAATCAAAGATAGAATTGTGATAAGCTTCTAAAGAAAGTGGATAACTTTGGAAGGTAAGGAAACACATCAATTGGAATTCAAATCAAATCAAATGACTTTTGGAAGAGTTTCCAACAGATAAAAATTGAAAAGAAGTATTTGTTCCCAACAAACATCTTAAAAAGAAGTGTCTATTCCAACAGGCATTTTGCCCTATAAATATGGAGTTATCTCTTCTTCTTTAAGGAGTCTTTTTGAACTCAGAAATATGTAAATAAAACAGCCCATTTTTGTACTGTGATTGCTCGAGAAATCCCTATACAAAAACTATTGATTTGTTATTTTTCATAGGATAGTTCAATGGTTGATCTTGCTAGTGCAAAGGCTAGATCAACAAGGTGCTTCATTGTATCCTATGGCATTTTAGGTTATCCCTCTTGCATACCAGATTTGGTGGCATTTGTAGCATGCCTTGAAGCCAATGATCTATTTTTTAACCCCTATTTCTCCAACAACTTATAGGAGCAATTGCAGTTGTTGTGTTTGTTACATGGCAAGTCCTCATTGTAGCCATTATTGCTTTGGTAGCTGTAAAATACATGCAGGTATGCCCATTAAATGCAAATTTCTTCACCTGATTCATTCTATTTTTCAAATTATGAAATTGACTAGCCAATTAATTCCTTTTTTCCTTACACGTAAAGGAGTATTATCTAGCTTCAGCAAGGCAGCTAATAAGAATAAACGGGACAACAAAGGCTCCTGTTATGAATTATGCAGCCGAGACATCTCTAGGAGTGATTACTATAAGAGCTTTCAACACGACAGACAGGTTCTTCCAAAGCTACCTAAAGATTGTTGATACAGACGCTGCACTTTTCTTTCTTTGTAATGCATCCTTGGAATGGCATGTACTAAGGATAGAGGCACTTCAAAATCTTACTGTATTTACTTCTGCACTTCTCCTCCTTCTGTTTCCTAAAGCCTATGTTGCTCCAGGTGACACCGAAAAACATAATTTTCACTCTTAGTGTTCAAGAGTGCTAATTTTTTTTTCTTCTTTCATTTCAAATCGGCAGGGCTTGCGGGGCTTTCACTCTCTTATGCCTTGTCAATAACAAGTACTCAAGTTTTCACCTCAAGATGGTATTGCAACTTATCAAACTACATTATTTCAGTTGAAAGGATAAAACAGTTCATGCACATCCCAGAAGAGCCTCCAGCGATTATAGAGGAAAACAGGCCACCATCTTCATGGCCCTATAAGGGGAGGAATGAGCTGCAAAAGCTGAAGGTATCAGAAACAAGCAATTTTGTTTCTCTAAACGGATAAATTCAATGCGAAACTTTGATCATTTTCGATCTTACGTTTTGTTTCAGATAAGATATCGTCCAAATTCCCCACCAGTTCTCAAAGGGATCACTTGCATGTTCCAAGAAAGGACTAGAGTTGGAGTTGTGGGAAGAACAGGAAGTGGCAAATCAACACTAATAAGTGCCTAGTTTCGACTAGTTGAGCCTACAAGCGGGAAAATTCTGATAGATGGACTTGACATATGTTCAATGGGACTAAAAGATCTTAGAATGAAACTCAGCATCATCCCTCAAGAGCAGACTTTGTTCAGAGGTAGCATCCGCACCAACTTAGACCCCTTAGGCCTTTATACTGATGATGAAATATGGAAGGTCAGCAAAATAATTCTAATTTCTCCTATAACACAACAAGCATTTTGATTCTGTTTTCTGCCAAATTATCGCACATGTTTTGGTTGTAGGCTTTGGAGAAATGCCAGCTAAGTAATCTACCAAACAAGCTTGATTCATCCAGTGAGTTCAATTCAGCAAACTGAAATTTTGTTATCCTTGATATGAACTAAAGTTCTAGATGATGTTATCTTAACTATTTTTGAGATCAAATAGTGAGCGATGAAGGTGAGAATTGGAGCATGGGACAGCGACGGCTATTCTGCCTTGGAAGAGTGCTACTTAAGAGAAACAAAATACTAGTCTTGGATGAAGCCATAGCTTCCATTGACTCTGCTAGAGATGGCATCCTGCAACGTATCATCAGAGAGGAATTCTTAGAGTGCATAGTGATAACAGTAGCTCATAGAGTTCCAACTGTTCTAGACAGTGACATGGTCATGGTCCTTTCCTATGGTACGTTCTTCTTCCTGCTTTTAGAAGAAGGATGTAGTTTGCCTTTAACAAAGAAAAAAAAGAAAGTTTTGAGCTTCTTATGAAATTATTTATGAGGTGTGTGTTCTTATTTTCAGGAGAATTAGTTGAGTATGATGAGCCTTCAAAGCTTATGGAAACAAACTCATCCTTTTCTAGGCTTGTAGCTGAATATTAGTCAAGTTGCAAAAGAAAACAAAATTCCTCCAAGATATGGAATTATTATAAAATGTAGTAAATAAATTTGTAGAGACTTGTAACCTGTGCTTCTGGAATCAATTGCCCATTCAAGTGCATTTCAGATTGTTGGGTGCGTGAATTGGTATGCATCAATCCATTTGTTTAACGCTATTATGACTATCGTGAGATAACGTCGTGAATGAATCACTCCGAAGTTGAGAAAGGGAAGAATCATTCTGCATTATAAACTTAATCATTAGTGAATGATTGATATATTTTGGAAGATCAACGTGCAAAATGAAGAAAATTCTCAAATCCGGACCTATAGCAACACTCTACATGCATTGGTTATGGACCGTATGGTGGCTTCCAAAAAAACTGAAAAAACAATGTATTGGATGACTGCATGTGGGGAAAAGGACCTTGTTATTCTAAATTTCCCATTAAATGCTTCTGGGCCTTTCTTGTCCCCAAAGCTACACAGACAGCTGTGACTGCTCCATCAGTACACAACCAAATAGAAACTTGGGGAAACATGATTTTGTTTTATAAAATTGGTTTCTTCGCTTCATTTGATGCTTGGGTCTAAAGAAAGCATTTATTGTTGGGGCTTATGCTTCCCTACTTTCAATATTTTCCCTTTTTGTGGGGATTGCAAAATGAGTTGCTTAACATGATGAAGTCTCATTGTTGTTATACATGGATCTTCTAATGTTGGTTTGGTTGTTCTAACTATGTTGCTCTGGTTGTCAAATTGGTTTACGTTTTATTAAGGCACTTGAAACTTGGAATTTTATATGGGCATTTGGAGGAAGATATCAAGAGTAAAATGATTCCATTCTATTACAGAATATTCATATTATAATTATGTTGATTGTGTTCACATTATAATTGATTGATATAATTAAGTTAATTGATTTTATACTATAAAATATTCTTTTGTACAGGCCTATAAATAAGCATATTGTATATTTAGTGAAATTAAGAAAGAAAGAGTTTCTTCTTTATATATTTTTATATTTTTCTTCACTTTATTTTTTCTATCATGGTATCAGAGCCCTGAGGCTTTTTTTTACTATTACTGTTCATCTCCTTTGTGAGTTGCTGCTTTACTTGTAGGTGGTGCCGATCATCATCATCTTTGCTTTCTTTCTTGGACTTATTTGCAATTGAGTTTTCTTGATCTTGTTCCTTTGTTGCGCCGGCAATACATGTTCATGGCCAATGTTGCTCCAACCTTCTTGCATCCAATTTCTGCTAATTTGCTCTTGATTTCCTGCTGCTGATTTTGCCCTAGATTTCTCACAATTGAACTTTCAACATTACTGTTGCCCATATTTGATATTGCCTCCTTCTCCTCCAGTGGCATCGACTACACCAATCTGCATATTTAGTGTGCAAATCTTTTCACCAAAAACTCACTTTCTTGGCCGCTTCCGCCTTTTCTTTCCAAATTCAAGGTGGTCTCCTCATCGCTCCTTTGAGTTTGAAAGGAATGTTACAGAATGTTCATATTATAATTATATTGATTAGGTTCACATTATAATTGATTGGGTTCACATTATAATTTATTGATATAATTAAGTTAATTGATTTTATACCATAGAATATTCTTTTGTACAGATTTATAAATAAACACCTTACATGTTCAATAAAATTAAGAAAGAAAGAGTTTCTCTCTTCATATATCTTTATATTTTTCTTCTCTTTATTTTTTTCTATCACATTCCTAACAAATATTTGTTATCGACATTCTTTTCTCCCTCAATGTAAGGTGGGGTTTTTTAGAGCAATGATGCTTATATAACATATTAAATCGATTTATATACTTATTAAAGAAAAAGTATTAGAAATCAGATTTTTATCAATAAAGTAGGAAATAAACCTTTATATGAAATCACTTTATAATTATTTTTATTTAATAGTTAAAATATCTCCGTGAATTTTTGTGCATTTTAAAACTAATTCTTTTTCAATTTAATTAAAGGTAGGTCATTTGCACTAAAACAAAAAAATTTATGAGAAATTATCTCTTTAAAAATTTATCTTTTAAAAAAATTAAATCTTAATCATTAAAATAAAAAATAAACTTTCTTATCTGTTAAGTCACTACTTCGAAAATAAGTTACTGATTAACAGTGATCTACATAAAAACAAGTTGGTAAAAAGTGTTGAAAATGATTGCAGCATTAATCAAACAAACTGCTAATTGAAGGCTAGATTAAGACATTTGGTTAAAAAAGATACGCACTATATTAAGTATTGCTAACTAATTTTGGGAAACATCTAAAAGAAAATAATTTTGGGAACCATTTCGTATCATGCATAAAGAAAAATGAAGATAAACTTTAATTTATAGGAGAAGAAAGCATGTGTAACTTGTAAGATCATTTTTCCCTTGTATAAGCAACATTTTGGATTTAATACACAAAGATTAGAAGATATTTCTTGAACCAGCCTAACTGAGTCAATTGGTTCACCCTTGGCTCCAAGGCTTGATGGTGCTTGCAAAAATACCTCCT